GCCCGGCCTGAAACCAGGCCCGGCGCAGGCCCCGCTGGATGACACCCGCTTCATGATCGCCAGCACCAACTGGTACTGACGCCGCAGCCCCTTTGCCCCGCCGGAGCCGAGCCGAGCCGAGGACCTGCATCCATCCCCCCAGAGAGACAGAGAAGCCTCTGCATTCCACCACCGGGGAGGTTTCTCAATAAAGCAAGATGACCCGCAGCGACCCGCAAAGCTCGGATTTTATTTTCTCGCCTCAGAGCCGAGGAGAGGGGCCGGGTGCCTCGAAGAGCTGGTTGAGGCGCTCGGCCTCTCGCCAGCCCGACAGCAGGGCCCCATGGGTGGTGGAGTAGAAGGTGCGGTGGGTGGCCTCCCCCGCAAAGCGGAGCCGCGAGGCGGAAGGTGAGCGCGGGGGGTCTGCCACCTCCCCCAGCCCAGCGGGGACACTGGGTCATGCTAAACCAGCTTCATTTCCCTGCCCTCTGCCACCCCGTGGGTGCGTGACCCACTCCGCGGCCACGCAGACTGTGGGGCAGACACCTTCCCTTCCTTAGAGACTTGCCCCACACTGTGAGTATGTCGGAAAGTGGTTGGAAGGAGTTACATGTCCCCAAATTTTATGGAAATGGGGTTCCCCCCACCCCCGTGGAGCTCAGCAGGGAGAGCCAAGGGGTGACCCCAAGCATCGGTGACCCCTGAATGGAGTAGGAGTGAGGAATGCCACCTCCCTGTGCCGCTCAAGGCCTGGGGTGCTCTGTTCCCACCCCTGCCCATGTGTCCCCTTGCCCAAGGACATCCTGCTTCCCACACAGCTGCTGCATCCCCCCCAGGCCCAAAGCAATTACCCTTGGGTCCTCGGGGTCCTCGGGCAGAGGCTGAGCCAGCACGTCGATGTCATCCCCTGAGCTGCCGACGGCCACATAGCTGTAGGAGCCCCGGGTGTAGCGAGCGCTGTGCCACTGGGACCTGAGCACGCTCCTGGGAGCGGGCAGGCTCGGGTTCCCTGCAGGCATGGATTTTTGGGTGCGATCCAGAAATCCGGGTGCGTGTTTCCCCAGGGGGGTTGGGGTGAGGAGGGCAGAGGCGGCAGCGGTACCTGTCATTGTGCGGAGGATGTGCGTCATGGTGCCGAGAACCTCTGCCTCGCTCAGTGTCTCCATGTACTCTGATTCCTTCCCTGCGATGAAGCCGCAGAGGACGTGTCCGTGCCTGGGGAGGAAAGGTGAGGCTGAGAGCTGCCAGCCACCCTCCTGCTGCTCACCGGGCACCGTGCCCTCCCTGCCCCACGGGCACCGCTGGGTCACGGGCCACCAGTGACCCAGAGAAGGTTTTGGAAGCTCCAGGCAGGACAAAGATGCTCCTTCACATTGCCCAGAGGGCGCCCAATGCCCCCCCCCCCCCCAGCTGTGATGCCCCTTTACTGATGCTCTGGTCACATACTGCTCCGGTGGCTGGAGGACCACGAATCCAATGAGCTTCTTGAACCAGTTGGCCTCCAGGTCAGCGCTGGGCTCCTCAAGGGGTGACTCGTCCTCCCACACCACTTCGAGGAGCTGCTGCTGGGGTTCCCAGAAAGGCTGCTCGAACTCCAGGAAGATCTTGTTGTTGGTGCCGAAACCCAGGTGGCGAATGGCCTCTGCTTTCCGCTCGGGCAGGGGAGGCTGGAAGAAGTCCTGGTGGCGTTCCTTGAGGAAACCTGCAGGCAGATCGCGCAGCTCTGTTCGCCGGCCTCCTAAAGGGGGTCTGAGATACTTTCTGCTCCCCAACCCCCTTCCCAGCCTCCCCCCTCCCGCCGTGGGTGAGGGGAGGCTGAGAACGGGTTTGGGCAAGTCCCTGCCGTCCGTCTGCCCCTCTCCAACCGCGTCAACTGGAAAGGCGTCGGTGTCCTCACCCAGCGGGACGGTGACGATGACGTGGTCGGCGAGGAAGGTGTCTCCATCCTCACACTCCACCTGGACGGGGAAGTCCCTGGCCTTGTCCCCCTCCTCACGGAAGGACCCTCTCCACCGGATGGTCCTCACGGCCTTGTTGAGCAGGACGGTGCCCTCGGGCAGCGCCTCCAGCATGCGGTCGGGCAAGCTGCTGT